TATGTTTGATTGTATTCATTATCGGTCAGTTCAGCCCTTTCACTGTGTGTGCAGATGTACGGTATGTATATACATGGCATGCTGTATTCCGTTTAGTGTAGCAATACATCTTTCCGATTTCCTTCGTGTCATGCCGTATGAAGCACATTCTCGAATTTTCATATCCTTAATTTGTTCTAGTCACAGCTTGAACTCCTCCATACTCATCCTTTAATAGATTGGCTTCTTTTTCGCATTAGAAAACGTAAATTACATATTTTGACCCAAGTGAAAAACAGTTCTGCCTCAACTCATTATTGACGTTTTTTTTTTGCTACTCATTAGAAAACGTAAGTCAAGTAAAGCTCTACGAAGCGAATAAACGTACCCCTCCCAACTCACTGTAGGTGACTTGTGCAACACATGAGCAATAGATGAATGACTTTGTCGTCGCATGAGAAAACGTAAAGCACATAAGCCTCCTCCAAACTAATAGACGTACTACATTGCCCCACTGCAGGAACTGCTCCGTCAAGCGGTGGCGTATCAAATCGAGTTCTCACGGTACCAGCCCAAAGTTGTTCCAAAAATAGATTCGCTCCTGACCGACTTCCAGTCCTTTGTGCTGCCGAATGCCGTTGCCTGCACACTGATAGGCCACTCCGCGAACGTCAAAACGCTCGAATTTGTGGGTAATAATGGGGGCCTAATTGCCACAGGCAGCTCGGATAACACTGTGCGGTTATGGGACACTAACACGGGTAAGTGATTAAGCGTATTTTATCTTGATATCATATCTTGATACGCTGTGTATAAGTTTTTGCTGCATGTGACTTCGAATGGCAAAACGCACCAATTCATGAGCAAAGATGAGGGCCTAGTAGCTAGCATAATCTATATTATATCACTTTATGAGCACAAGTCGAGAAATTGGGATGATGGCCATTCGGAATGGTATTCATAGATCCATTTCTGTATACAAACAGCAGCCAAACAATCACATGCGTACATATATATATATATATATATATATATATAGGCATGAACCTAATATGCCAATTCCATTATCCTTGCACAGATCAGCAGAAGGCCATGTGTTTATATAGTCAAGGCAACCCAACAGCTACATGCATTTGGAATCACACACTTACCTAGCTACGCTGTCCCCATTGTACTTAAACAGGTCAGCAGAAGGCCATGAGTTTATATAGTCAAGGCAACCCAACAGCTACATGCATTTGTAGTCACACATTCATCCAACTATGCTGTCCCATTGTCCTTAAACAGGTCAGCAGAAGGCTGTCCTTTTGGGGCATACCTCGCGTATTTGGGACATTTCTAATTCGGCGAAGGGTGACTTCATTGCCAGCGCCAGCGCAGACTCAACGATCAAAATATGGGACGTAGAGACCTCGCTGAGAACTGCAGCAGATAACGATGGAGGCGTTGTCATGGCAACGGAAGACGGCACCGCTGTCCGAAATGCGCAGGTGCGGGAACGGGGCTTTATCTGTCTGGGTGTTGTGCGTGTGTTCGGCTATTTTGTGGGTGTGTGTGTGCACTTGTAGTGGAGGCGTTGTCATGGCGACGGAAGACGGCGTACTTTTCCGGAATGTCCAGGCGTGGAGACGGGTTTTTATCTCGCTGGGTGTTATTAATGTGTATGTTCGGCTATCTCTGCGTGTTGTTGTGCACATGGTCGGCTATCTCTGTGGGTTTGGGTGTATACGTAGAATGTAGTATTTCGTGCGCTTTGTTTAGTTGCCTATTTTATTATGAACCTCAGACCGTTGTGGCAACAAGTATTGCGGATGGGTACATGTGCACCGATGATCATTGACAGTCGTATGGGGTAGCTAGAATTCTAGACCACACTGTGAAGTTCGTTCTATAAATAGCGAAAATCTATTTATAGCCCACAGTCTATTAATGTGCATACTCCCTTCCTGGCAGACACTCACTGGTCATGCAGGGGACGTGTACTCGTGCTCCATCCACCCGGGGCAAACACATGTAGCCAGTGGGGGCTACGACCACACTGTACAGCTGTTTGATTTGGAGACAGGCCAGAACATTCGCACATTTGCGGAACATGATCTGCTGGTGTCGTCGGTGACGTTCAATCCTCACGGCAATCTCATCGTCAGTGGGTACGTATATGCTTATATAT